CATCGACAGTATATCTATTCAACCTAATTCGACAAGCTGCCCTCTCCCTTCTTTTAAACCTTGTCTCTTGTTATCCTACGAATCGGATAGATATCCTAGAAATGGCCGGCCCACGTGTTACTGCTCCCGTCGCAAAGCTCGCTCGCTCCATCACCACCACGGCTCAGCCCTCGACCCTCCTTACAAGCTCAACCACTGCGGCACCTCTATCAAGGAAGTATGCCGACCTTCTGAAGGAACGGAATATGGACGGTGATGTAAGAGGCCCATTCATTAGCCATGTCGCATCCCGAGTCCAAGACACTAATGATATTCCTTGCTTTTTAGCATTCCCGTCATTTATATACTCGTTCGGCGAACCTACCCCATCCTCGGCAACGCAAGCTTCGTTTGATGCAGACCTTTTCGTCGAGTGCAGCCGCTTCCAATATTACTGCTAAGACCATCGACAACTTTGTCTTCCCTGGTTCGGCAGCTCTACAGGGGGCTTCGGAAGACCCTTTCACAAATCTCCGCGTCCCTCTGCTGCCCGACAACGTCGCGTTCCAGCACACTCCCGAGACACGTGATGCTCCTGTCACGGCCCCAGAAATCAGCATCGTCGCTGCCAATCTGAATACCTCATCGCCTATTGCACTCACCGAAATTGAAGGCATGGGTGTGGACGGGGTAGAGTTACAATTTGTCCACGAAGCCGAGTCGGAACAAGAACCCAACATGTTGACAGGTCTATGGAGAGGCCTTGTCGACGACGTCTTCGGTCAACAGAGTAGTAAAGGCAAACTTGCTATCTGACAAGCCCTCTAATACAACCCTCCACTACACGCCTACTTTTCCAGCCGGCCGGGACACGCGAGTTCCAATTTTCCCATGTCATGTTTTATGTACATGTTCTCCCGGTGGCAGGAAGTAAATGTTTTCACGATTTTGCATTGATTTACTATATGATTTTAATTCGGCGTTGGTTCTCGGAAGGAAGGTGACGAGCCGTTCACTACCCATAACGCGGATTGGTCTTGGATAGACACAGTGCATAGTCTGCCTGTTTGTCACACGTGTCGAATGTTATTTGGATAAGAGGATGGGAAAAACTTGAACTACCATTTGATTCATTTCAATTCAATTGAACAGTCATTTGCCCCGGGTGATTACTACCATCACTCTCTACACACTTTCTCAGCTGCACAATGTCTGGTGAAACCAACGATGCGTAAAGCCTTCATTTCCTTGAACCCCTAGTTCTTACCGCTGTCTAGGTTTGACGCTAGGTTATCTAGGAAAGAGAAGGAAATGATACTGGCCGTTGTCTTGGATGTTATTTTGACCAACTGAAGCTTCTATTGCTAATCATCAAGAACACAGGTAAGCCTGTGATCCAGGCCTTTGCGATGACGAACCTATGTCATAGCTACTGGACCAAAGGATGGAGAAGCTTCAGAATCTAGGAGATCTACGGGCTCCCCGGAGCATTGCCTTGTTTTGGGACATGGTGCTACTCTCCCCCGCACTTTCCGTCACAGTACCCCAAGGTCGAGACTGGCCCACTCGTTACGCTTTTGCCCCAGCCACGTGGGACAGAACCGGACATGATTCTAACATGGTCAGTTCTCGGTGTAAAAAGCGTCTGAAGCATTCTAGGTATTCATTGAAATGATAATAATTCGTGACAATGGCCGGCCCAGGAGTAATAAGTCCCGGGTAGTGCATCGTGCATCAAATGGAAGCCCAGAAAACCCTGGAACAACAGAGCTCAGTTCGCTAGACCGGGGAAGGAACAAACTGATGACTTGCAGGCGCTTGTCGGGCAAGCGGACGTACATGATGCCCACAATTCATGATGCCAAGAGAAACACCCGATGTTGCGGATTCGGATCTAAAGTTAGCCAAGTGCTAGACTAGATAGCACTGCCGTTTCTTAACTATTATCTTACTCACATGAACAGTTTATGACTCGTATAGTACCTATAGTAGCTTAGTCTAGTTATGCTTATTACCTAATTAGCAGGTCACACGTTGGTTGTAGTATTTTCTAGAGAATGCGATTGTTGATAAAGACTTGCTTTTGTAGAAGTGGAGGGATGGGAGGGAGGGAGTGAAAGAGCCGAGGAAGATACCTAGATGATCACGTGAGCCAAGGTCTATGTACAATACAATACAACTAAACGGACCAAGGGACACACTTTTTAATACTGGGTTAGAATGCATGTGATGAAGAGAATACATGTTTTTAGAGGGGTTGCGCGAAAATAATTTCGATTTCAAGGTATGGTTTGTTTCCTGCAGGGGAGGGGAGAGAAAGAAGAATCGAAGAATCAGGGGTTGATTTAATAATAGATAGACTTTGTAATATGTATTTATTTTTTCTCTCGAATCCGGGGTAATGGGGTAAGGTATGTAGGTAGGGTAGGGTATCTATCTCTCTTGGTTTGGTTTTTTTCTTGGTTTCTGGAATTATGTTGTTTTTGTCTTGTCTCGGGGAAATGGCGGGTTGAGGGGTTCCGTTCCTCCGGTCCGAAATGCGGCCAAGACAATGTGTGGTTGGTAGGTACATAGGTTAGGTTACAGGTTACAGGTTACAGGTGGTAGGAACTTTTATTGCGCGGTTTAATGATTAATTGAGGTTTGGTTCCAAAACGTAGGTATTTAATTGTGAGTTGTTGTTGTTATAAGGGTTTTAAGAGTTAGGTTTCAGGTTTTACAAAATGGGGCGAGGGTGAGAAGGAGAGGAGAGGAGAGCAAAAAATAGAAAAAGAAAAAAAGGGGGGGAGGTAATAGTGTTAAGAGGTAGATCTGCTTTTGCCAAATCAGAGGTTGGTTTTATTATACTGTTTAGAATTAATAGGTAGGTAGTTTCCCTTCCTGCGTTAAAGCAACATTTGTGTTCGCGGTTACGTTATGTTTTATATAAAAGGTATGCTTGGTCGTGATTTTTACTATCAGCCGTCCTTGTTATCTACGTAGAGTTGAAGAGTGAGTGATTAACTTAATCGACCTCTGAAACATGAAAGTTGAAGTTGGGGTTAGGACTGATGATGAGCATATAATGGCTTATCTTCTAGATAACCCCCTTCCGGGCTTTTCTGGTTATGTTATTACTTTGGTGTCGATCAAACCTAGGTAACCATTGCTACAAAATTCAAGACTTGAAAGTATATATCTTGGGTTTATCTATGTCAATATATAGGTAGCGGGTAAGTATTAAAAAGAAGGATTGTTTGTGTTCGTTCTCCTAAACATAATGGAAGGTCCTGCTTGTTAAAATCACATGCGCCGAGACATACCAAGGATGGATGTTTGTTGTCCCTTCCTTTGCTCCGGCCGTCCACTAAGCTAAGACGGGACAGGGTAGTCCGTGAGTTGACACGGCTCGGGCCACGGGGACCGGGTGGGGTTGATAGTATACCTATTAGGTATAGCTCGAGAAATCAAGTTGCTGTATGCGGCGTGTATCTAGGTTAGTATGTGATGATGGAGTGGCGTTGGCAATGCTTGGTATACAATAAGTTGGGTGTCTTATCTATGTCACCTTGTTAACTACCTACATTGGCAGAATGAGTTGATGTAGGAGAAATGTAATTTGAGCATGCCAAACGTTGTAAGAACATGAATCTAGTGTAGGGAAGGAAGGGAGGGAGGGAGGAGTTGGTTGGATGACTGATGAAGGAGAACAAGATAGGTATGGTGGACGATAAACAATCAACTCAACTTTTGTCTTTCTTTAAGCGCATAAAGGATTATCTCTCGGATAGGCGCGTTGATCTAGGAATATAGCTTTGCCAACTCCGACACTTCAAAGGTTCGTACTGGGCAGCGGGAGACAAGGACAAGGATGACGACTCTTGTCTCTCCTCACATCTTGTATCTATAAGACCCGACCGTCTTGTTGAGCTTATTTATTTATAGAAGACGGGAAAGGCCAGATAGCTCCTGATAGCTTCGCTGTCTCTCTCTCTCTGGTCTTAAACACAAACCAATGTAGTGATTATCTCCCTCCTATAACCCTTCTTGACATTGTTATTCATAGAGACCTTTTCGACATCCCCCCTACTCACTAGCTTCAGCTTTAGCTCCCGTCCTCCGGTGTCTGCCGCCTGTCAAGGCCAGATCATAAGATGGATAGTAAAACATCTGTATAGAGAAACCCGATAAATCACCATCACTCCCCTCTAACCAGACATGAAAAGAGGCCGGTTGTGGTTCTCTATATTACTATATCACCGAAAAAATAAAAGGACAGCAAGACAACAAGACTATAAAACCAGGGCTCGTCATATTAAAAAGGGGCGTGGATGCTTCTTTGTACATAGCGGCTTAAACCAAAAAAACTAAGCGCGAACAATGGGCTTTGTAAAGTTGGATTAGCGATCTAGACAGGGCGAAGTTGTTAAAGCTCATGATGGTGGGGACCTTTGCTCAAACTCCTCAATACAATGATTATGTTTATTTCTTACCGAGGCGTAATTAACCAGTGCTAGTATACCTCTCCGAGTTACCTTTAAAAGGTCGGTACTGTGTTACATTCTATTACCTGCCGTCAAGAGGACAGCATTGCTACCGCAGCATCTATATTGCTCTTATATGAACATGATACATACCACTACTATCTAAAACTAGGATAGGTTACCTTATACATAGTCAGGTAAAGTTTTTCTAGCGTAGATTTATACATACCGCTCCCCGAACAACCGCGGCGAGCAGAATTGGAAGATACCGTCAATATGCAAGGTTTGGAAACTCAATATATACTATCAAACAAAAATGACTTGACACGCTGAGTCCCTGGCCATATCGTGGCTGTTGGAAGCTAACACGGACATTGAACAATCTTGCTCTAGGTCTAGAAGGGGGTGTTTAAGTGATAGCAATAAATGCAAACAAACCCTTTAACGCGTTCTTACCCCTTAAACTAAACATAACAATAGATAGCAATCTTAACGTTCCCTTATACAAGTAGCAAAAAAAAACAAAATCATAAAGGGAAAAAAAAGAATTTATCATGTCTCTCGATCGGGGAATCGAACCCCGGCCACCTGCGGGCTTGTTATTGACTAAGACACCTAAACTAACTTAAGACTAGGCAATCATTGTCAAATGACAAGCAGGTATCCTGACCACTAGACCAATCAAGACTTGAAATCTAACTTGATGTCCATCCGGATAGAACCAGGCTCTATATGGCAAGTGAAATCAGGGAGGACCTTTACTTTGCAAACATTTAACGTAACCTATATAATGTAATGGCTATGAGAGATCAGTTGTTACCTATTGTAAGAGTGCATAGGTTACTATCAAACTAGCCTTAAAGACCGCAAGATCTTCTCAGAGGGCATCGCGAAGCGAAACATACAAGGAAAGGAAGATGGGGCGAAAAGACTTGCGCCAGGGGTGCGGGTATCTGGAAAGGAGAGAAAGGGGCACAAAATAAGTTGTTGAAATATTGCGTCATTCATTCACTTATAGCTGACAACCGACAAAATATATACATCATATCCACACGACTGAGTGTGGTTCTGGTAAGTTTTCTTGTTTCCACCTCTAAGAAAGGAAAAGATGGCTTGTAATAAATAGACAAAGTAGCCCTCTGTTCCCAAGGAGACATTGTTATAAGGACTAAGTCCAACTATTACCAAAAGCAAGTACCCTTATTAAAGGGGAAAGGAAAGAGAGTTTCTATAATTCCCGGTGGTATTATAAGGAGACAAAACAAACATGCCAAACCGCAAAGACTCTCTACTCCCGGGTTTTTGGTTTCGTGTATATATATGTATATCACCGTTTTGTAACACCGTAAGAGGGTATAGGTAAGTAAAGCGCGGGTAGATGGGTGTTTCCGAGTGCAATCATACAACGTCCGTAACCGCGATGATATACAAGGGGGGGGGGGGGGGGGGAGGGTGTAAGTAATGAAAGAGAAGAAGAAAAGTGGAAAAACAATACCATAAACCTGATTGGCAACCGGGAACCGGCGTTTTTCTGTGCAAAGTGCAAATC